GGTTGCCACATCTCTCCTTACCCAAATTTCCTCAGCATCAGAGTTTCTAAAACAAACCCTGCTAATTGGCTAAACTCAGGGACTGGATATTACCCTGGGTGGGGGCCTAACCTAGGACGACAGGAGTGATAGGCCACTTGAGCTACACTTTCTGGGATCAGGTGTTCCAGTGTGTTTCCAGTCATAGCCTGTTTTTGGCAGAGGCTTGTTGCAGGGTCTCATCACTTCTTTGATAATAGTGCTTATTATTTGGGACAGAACCCTAGTTTGCCTGTGTGTTTTAGGCAACCCTTGTGGAATAAGGTGTAGGTTGGTCTCCCCTACAGTAGAGAAATGGCAGCCTGGTCACAATGTCAATGTTGCTCAAAGGGGTTAGCAGCCTACCTGTCTCCTTTGCTGCTGCATAACTCACTGCTATTACCAGTGAACTTCAAGCTCTTTAGACCCTCAGGGGTATCATGGGCTCTATCCATGGAGACAGTAGCTCAATGTTTAATCCAAAGGGTTCTCTGGGAGAAGGGAACAAATACGTCATACCTACACACATATCTAGAACACCTGCAGAAGTTACTCAATTGCTTAAATAATGTCAGACCCCTAGCCAGTGTGCTTGGAACTTAGTAAGCGCTGGTGCATATCAACATGCAAAGAAACTGATACTAAAGAAAGGAGGGCTAACTGCGATGTCCCAAGGTACAGTTCTCTAGGTTTAAACCCTAATCCCTGGGAGGTAGACTAGGAAGCCTTGGAAGGAGAAACAGCTGCCTATGAGGCAGGCCAGCAGGCCCCTCCTCCCATTCCTTGTAACTTCTAGAAGTTCTTCATTATGAGTTATCAGACAGATGCAAAAACTAAAAACCATGGCTTTGGACAGTTAGAAGCCCAAAACCAAAGAAAGAAAGGAAGGAAGGAAGAGAGGGAGGGAAAAAAGAAAGGAGAGAAGGTAAAAAAAAAAAAGAATAAAAAACCCTAAATGTAGGAGGAAGAAATTAAGTAAATAAGTAAATAATACTATATATATATATAGCTATATTGCTGTAGACTTAATGTTTGTATTTCCCCAAAATTCATATGTTGAAACTTAATCTCCAATGTGATGGTATTTGGAGGTGGGGTGTTTGAGAGATGATTAAGTCATGAGAGTAGAGCCCTAATGATGGGATTAGTGCCCTTATAAAAGAGGGCCCAGAGAGCTCCCGTGCCCTTTCCCTGTGTGAAGACGCAGAACCTTTAACAAAAAGGTTAAAAGTGCACAGATTTGCCTTTGTCCATCTACAACACAGGTTCTGAATTAACTTTAACATTTGGCAAAATGGATCAATTGACAAAGCTTCATGGATTTAATCTATACTGGGGTTCAAATGACAGTTATTTCTAGGAATCCCACTAAATTTAAAAATGGTACTCCCTATAACCTTAGGGTGGTTGACTTAAACAACAGAAATATATTTTATCACATTTCTGGAGACTGGAAATCCCAAATCAAGGTGCCAGCAGGATTGATGTCTGTGAGGCCTTCTCCTTTTGGGTTGCAGATGTTCACCTTCTCACTATGTGCTCACATAACTTTGTGCTCATGCAGAGAGAGGGAGAGAAAGAGAGGGCTCTTTCATGTCTCTTTTTATAAGGACACTAAGCCTATCAGATCAAGGCCCCCTCTTATGACCTCACTTAACCTCAATTATTTATTTACTTCAAATACAGCCACAGTGGAGTTTAGGCCTTCAGTATATGAATTTTCAAAGGACATAAACATTCTTTCCGTAACACCTACAGTAATAAAGACAATGTGGTACTGGCATAAAGGCAGATATATAAACCAATGGAATGAAATTGAGATCCCAGAAACAACCCCTCACATATATGATCCAATGTTTTTTGATACGGATGCCAAGACCATTCAATGGGGAAAGGATAGTCTCTTCAACAAATGGTGCTGAGAAAACTGGATATCCACATGCAAAAGAATAATGTTGTATTCTTACCTTACACTATATACAAAAATTAACTCAAAATGAACCAAAGAGCTAAATGCAAGAGCTAAAAATAGAAAACTCTTAGAAGAAAACATAAGAGGAAAGCTTCATGACATTAAATTTGGAAATGATTTCTTGGATATGCCACCAAAAGCACAGGCAACAAAAATACCCAAATAGACAAATTAGACTTCGTCAAAACTGAACTTTTGTTCACCAAAGGATATTATCCAAAGAGTGAAAAGGCAACCCATGGAATGGGAGAAAATATTTACAAATTATATATATGATAAGGGATTAATATCCAGAATATATAAAGAAATTCTACAACTCAACAGTAACAAAACAACAACCCAATTCAAAAATGGGCAAAAGACTTGAATAGATATTTCTTCAAAGAAGATATATAAATATCCAATAAGCACATGAAAAGGTACTCAATATCATTAGTCAGTAGAAAAATGTAAATCAAAACCACTTCTCACCCAACAGAATTACAAAAAAAAAAAAAAAAAATGAAATTAGCCATTGTTTTCAAGAATGTGGAGAAATTAGAACATTCATACGTTGCTAGTAAGAATGCAAAATTTTGCAGCCACTGTGGAACACGGTTGGCAGTTCATCAGAAACTTAAACATAGAATTAGCATGTAACCCAGCAATTCCATTCCTACATATTTATCCAAGAGAAAAGAAAACATACACCAACACAAAAACTTACACACAAATGTTTAAGGCAGCACTATTCACAACGGTCAAAAGGTGGAAACAACCCAAGTATTCATCAATGTTTGAATGAATAAACTCCAAATATGATATAGAAATACAATGAAATATTATGCATCTGTAAAAATGAATGAAATACTGTACATGTTACAATGTGGATGAACCCTGAAGACATTATGCCAAGTGAAAAAAGCCAGACACAAAAGGTTACATATTGTAGGGTTCCATTTATAAGAAATATCCAAAATAGATAATTCCATAGAGACAGAAAGCAGATTAGTTATTGCTAGGGACTGGGGGAAGGGAAGAACTGAAAGCGACTGCTTAATGGATACAGGGTCTCCTCTGGAGTTAATGAAATGTTTTGGAACTAGGTAGAGGTGATGGTTTCACAACAATGTGAATGTACTATGTGCCACTGAGTTGTGCACTTTAAAATGGTTAATTTCTACGTTATGTTAATTTCTCCAAAAAAATATAGTCCTAGTTGAAAAAAGATGTATATAAAAGTACATTCTCCAGGCCATTTGGCCTTCCATTTTTTTTAATATTTCATGCCCCTTTGAGCATCTCATGAAAGCAACGGATCTTATCCCAGGTAAATGTACGCACTCAGTAAAAATGTACATATCCTATCCCTCCCCCAGCACACACACGCACATTTTGAACATAATTCCAGGGGATCCATAGGTTTCTTTGGTTAAGAATGCCTGATTCAAGAAGTAAGTGCTCTCTTTTTAACATAGCTCAGCTGCTATTTGTCTCTTCCCCTTCCAGTCTCATTTCCAAGCAGCTTCCTCTCCTTCTCCTCTCTGTCTTTTCTCTACCTGGTAGCTTCTGCTTCTTCATGATATCAGTGTTTCCCAGATTCCAAGGCTGCAGATCTTCTTTTCATTAGTGTACACACTCTACTATCTCTTAAATGTATGCAATCTTGCATACCATTTCAGGTGGTCCACAGACTTCTTCAATTGAGAATACCTGGTCTAGGTCAATCAGTATCGTCAGCATGTAAGAGTTCCTTAGACACTGGCCTAAATCTGGCTGTGAGGCCATGAGGGTGGGTGTGGACAGGCAGTTGAGACACCCAGCAGGCTGCACCTCCTATGTCAGGTGGTAGGCTGCAGGTAAGGTCAAGGAAGCTTCCACTAGGCACTGTGAATTAAGGGCAGAGGGCCGGCAGGTCTGGAGGCTCTCTTTTCAACAACCACTTCTCCAGGCTCTATGGAAACCCACTGCTGCAGGGGTCTGGAGAGGATCCGTTCTGGTTTCCAGTTGTCAGAACAGTATTCCTATCTCAGTTGGGGTTGAGTTACCCCTGTGGGAATTTGCGAGAGGGAGGGAAGGAGCCAAAGGCATTTACTCAGGTCACCAACTTGGTCACCTCTCCATGTATATTTTTGGAGTGAGCAACAGTCAGGTGCTTGAACGCAAAGGATGAGAGGCTCTGGAAAGTGAGAAGGGGTCAGGAAACAGCATATTCCTCTCCTCTTGACAGGGCAGGGAAGATCAGACCATGTCTGCATCCCTCAGATCTTCAGCTGCCTTTGTCTACAGCTAAATCTCTGAATGAAAATAGCCATGGCCAAATTTTCAGGACTGATATTGTGTCAGCCATCAAATTCCAGTAAGTCTGCTCAGCACTAAGCAATTGTTTGGGAACATTAAATACATGGTTTTTAGTAGAACATGACAGAACCAGCTATTTATGAAAATTAAAAAATAATTTCTTTTTTATGTAGCCAATTGAATCCACTTTCTATACAGTAAAATTTAATGTTATTAACTTAATTTGGTCTCAGAATTTGGGAATCTTGGTTTTTTCCTCTATCTTAAACACAGTCTGTCTCTCAAATGGAAATAGCTTTAGTTTTTTGCTTATAAGAATAACCCATGCTGAGGGGAGAAAATTAAATAAAACTGAAAAAAAAATTATTTAGAAGAAAATAAAATCCCTATTTCAACTACCCTGCTTTCCTACCTGATAATCCACCCTACACTTATTATGTGAAGGTATGCAGGACAGGAGGTAAGAGCAGTGGCTGAGCGGAGAAGTAGATTGAGGGGATAGGTGCTTTGAGATCAAAGGTGAGAAAGAAAAACATTTCTGAGAACGTACCAATGACCAGTAATCCCAGGAAAAGGTGCAGCACCTCCCTGATAAGACAGAACAAATACATACCACAGGGAGAAGGGGCCACATTTGACCTTTGCTATTTGCAAAAACCAAAATGAGTGACAGAGCCTCAGGCAGTGAGGGGAGAGGGCGGAAGGGGGGCGAGGCGGAAGGGGGCTAGTGAAGGGAAGAAGTGGGCTGGCTCCTGACGCACTTTCTACGGGCGGGAGGGGAACTAGGGACCCGAGCCCACTGGTGACGTTTCCCTCACGTGATCAGGAGCCGACGTGTGCACAAGTCCCTCTCCTCCAGGTACCAGCTCCGTATTTCCGTGGAGGAAGATAGATTTCGGACTGAGAGACTGAGGGGGCAACTGCCCTATAGCCCTGCAGGTTGGTGCAAGCCGGAGGGGGCGGGGACACCTGGGTTAGTGGTGGTAACAGCCAGAGGCTACACAGAATTTGGTCTGCTTTCCAGATGCCATCCCTTTCCCATCCCCATTCATTTTGGCGCAGAAAATTGCGTGAGTGTTGGGGAAAGATCTGGGTACCATCTCTTATTTCCCTGGATAAGTGCAGGCTTACGGCGGAAAGAAATGTGAGGAAAAGGAAGCATCTCCCCAGGATGGCTACAAATCCACCACCGCCTGCGGACCCCTGGGGTGGGGGTGGCAGAGAGAAAAGACTAGAGCAGATCCAGGAGTGGGTTCTCTCTACCCCTTCTCCAATGCCCATCCTTTTGGTGCAAGAAATGAAGGATTTTGTGGGAGAAGATGGAGAGGGGCCAGAGGCTGAGAATGGGTACCAGCTGGGATCTCCTAGGAGGCAGGCAGGCTATCGGGATGTCTGATGGAGAGAGAGGGCCCCGGGGCGGGGGATGGTGAGGACATGGCCTGATCCCTGCAGGGCGGCAGAAGGAGGGCACAGCCTGTGAGCCTGGGATGGAGAGGGGAGACCCCTGGCTAGGCCTGTATTCTCTATATCTCTTTTCCACCTTCCATCCATTTTGGAGCTGGAAATGGTGGGCTGGGGGGTGGGTGGGGGGCAGAGGAGTGGAGGGAGGAAGGGCGAAGGAGGGGGGCAGAGGTTCTGTCTGGAGATCAGTTCCCTATTGTGGAAAAGTGGCTTCTGAACTAGGGAGGGTTGAGACAAGGTAACATGGACCAAAAAATTTTACTGTTTGGAAATAATTTGTCTGTTGTGTTGCAGAAAAATGTGGTCTTTCTGTGTATATGGAGAGGGAGGGGGTGGCAGGAATGCTCTGGACATTTCTGCCCTGGCCCCTGACTCTACCATCACCATTTTAAGAGAAGGGATAGGCTTTGTGCAATCTGGGCACCCTGAGGTGGGGGTAGGGGGTTGTGCTTTCTGAACATCCCTGTCCTGAACCTCACTCATTTTAGTGCAAGCAAAAGCGAGATAGAAATTTGGAAGGAGGATTTAGAAACACTTTGGAAATAATCTTTCTCTGCCATTGCCCAGTGGTAGAAAAATGGAGGCTGTTTTGACAACTAGAGTCCGAAAAGAATCAGTGTCCCAGTTGCCACTCATTCACATCTCAGTCCTTCATTGACTATGTTTCCCGTCTCTCTACAGGTCTTCGGGTCTGTGGTTGTAGGCACCAACCCAGACAAGAAAAGGAAAGACCTGCAGGATCAGCGCAGGTCAGTGGGAGAGGGCAACTGCCCGAGGATCCCTAGGAGTAGGAGTGACTTACGCCTGAGCAGAAGATGGAGAGGCCACTAGCTGCCACCCCTCCTCCAAGCCTCTCTATTGCAGTCTCAGAATACATGGCCTCTGTCTAGATGCTAAGGAAACATGGTGCTTGATGGCTGGTGAGGATAGAGGGGAGAACAAAGAAGTGAGAGACTCTGTGAAGCCTCTTGAGGATATTAGAGTAGCCCTAAAATCTGAGAACTGACCATTGTTCTGCTGTGTCTGCAGTTCGATAAGTCTTACAACTGCAGGCAAGGGAAAAAAGGAACTGGCCAGGGTTCCTGTAGGTCAGTGTAAGTTGAGACTACTCAGTTAAAATTGTTATGGGCATAGACAAGGTCAGAGCAAAGTTTAGGGACAAATCTACTCTTATACACTTCTCAGCACACCCCACTTAAATGTAGGGAGAAGCATCTGTGGAAGTTTCTGCAAGGTTAGCTCATGTAAACATGTGTGAAAAGGAAAGAAAAAAATGTATGGGTGGGAGTGCACTTGGAAGTTGGGAAAGAGTGGGGAAAACCTCAAATCATAAAGGCAAGTACTATCAGGACCCGTATTCTACCACCTAAGTCCTCAATCTCTTTTGTTTCCTCTTTGTCTCCTAGGTCAGGCAAAGGAGGGAAAATTTCAACATGGAAAGGGTCGACAAAGAAAATGAAGGAAAGCCAGAAAATCAAGGAAACTCAGAAAATGAGGGAAAGCCAGAAGATGAAGTAGATACAGAAGATGAAGGAAAGTCAGATGAGGAAGGAAAGCCGGCAGTGGAGGGGCAGCCAGGGCACCAGGGAAAGCCCCAGAATGAGGGACAGCCAGATGATGAGGCACAACCAGAAGATGAGGGAAAGCAGGACAAGCAGGGCAAGTCCGAAGATGAGGGAAAACCACAGGGCGGCGAGGGCAAGCGAGAATCCCAGGCAAAGCCAGAGAGCGAGCGGCGGGCTGCCGAAAAGCGCCCGGCTGAAGATTATGTGCCCCGGAAAGCAAAAAGGAAAACCGACAGGGGGACGGACGACTCCCCCAAGGACTATCAGGAGGACCTACAGGAAAGGCATTTGGGCAGTGAGGAGATGATGAGAGAATGTGGAGATATGTCAAGGGCTCAGGAAGAGCTAAGGAAAAAGCAGAAAATGGGTGGTTTTCATTGGATGCAAAGAGATGTACAGGATCCATTCGCCCCAAGGGGCCAACGAGGTGTCAGGGGAGTGAGGGGTGGAGGTCGGGGCCAGAAGGACTTAGAAGACGTTCCATATGTTTAATGCCTGTGGCCTTGATTCTGATTTCTCTGATGGGAATATTGCCAACCCTGCTTTCCCTGGCAGGCATTTGCCAGGCTATGTGCTTTAACCTTAAGCTGATACTTTGCTTTAGGTGTCACTCTTGTTACCAGCAGCCTTTTGATCCAAATACAGTGCTCTGTCTGTCAGTGGGGGATTTTCACCCATGTGCATGGAAGAGTTGTTCGTGGTACACTGTAAAATAACAATAAAGAAAAAACAGTTTTCAGAACCGCATGTACAGCATCAGCCCATTTTTGGAAAAAAAAAGTTGCATAATACATCCATGCACAGGGAAAACTATGAAACTGAGTAGACTAAAAGAGAAATGATGGTTTTCTCTGTGTGCTGGCATTGGAGGAGATTATCCTTTCTCTGATCTGTACTTTTTTCCCTAAAAAGCACAGATGACTTTTGTCATAAAATAAATTTAAAAAGATTAAAAAATAGAAAAATACATACCAAGCAATCAAAATAACTGTTCAGTGAGCTTATGAAGGCGGTGGCGACACATTCTTGGTGTCAGGATGTAAAATGATGTATAAAACTCACATCACCTCTGGGACTCAAAGCTAGAGGAATCCATCTGGTGGTTATTACAGATCCGCTGCTGTAAGGAACAGTCTTGTCATCTGTGAAATGGGGATAAAACTTTCCTTGCAAGGCTATGGAGAGGATCAGATGAGGTCCTGAGTGTGTGAACTGTGTCGGGCTGGCTCCTGCCCTCTCCCCTGCACTTGCAGGACCAGAACTCCATCAGATGTTTGGGGAAGAGCTGAGGGAGCTCTCACCTGTGTCCAGGAAGAAAGGTGGGTGTCACTCTCCCCTGGGTAATACCATGACTGATGGGCACTGTGCCTCTTCTCATGGGCTCTGCACCCTCCTGAGGGCCCCACTGTTGCTGGTTGGCTGGAATCCTTAAAGTAACAAAGTCTCTTTGGTTTCTCTGGAGTCCCTGGTGAGTTGAATCCCCGCTATCTTCCCTACTGAACTGTGGAAAAGGTCCCTCCACTCAAGTCAAATTTTATTAATCCTGACAGGAAAGGTAGAAAAATGCTTTGTAAAATCTTAATATATTTTCCAGGCGTCATAATTACCCCACTAGACTTGCCCTTTTCAAAGCAAAGAATTTATCTTACTCATTTTGGTACTTAGAACACATAATAGAAGCTTAAAAAATCAATACATTAATTATCAAGTCAGAAGGCCTTAGTTCTTGGCTCAGGTTCTGTCCCTGATTGAATACATAGCCTTGAGCATGTAATGTCATTCTTTAGCAACTGAAACTTGCCACTCCAAAAGGAACACAGCAGGAGAGGGATTATACTACAATTCATTGCTAAACGATTGTAACATTGGCTATAGTAGTGTTTCTCAAGTTTGTTAGCTACTGGTAGACCACTTGCATCAAAATCACCCAGCAATCTTGTTGAAAATGCACAATCCTGGATCCCACCTCAGATTCACTGTATTGGAGTCCCTTTTGACTTGTCTGTGTGTGTGTGTCCTTTTTTAGCTCATTTTTATTTTTGGATACATGTACAAAATGGATATATGTACAAAATTTAAAAGTCCAATAGTGCAAAAGAATTATTATTAAAAACTGCAGTCTTCCTTGCTATTCCACATTCCCACTCTCCAGAGGCAACTACCGTAGATGTCTTTTGCTTTCTTCTGGTATTTACCTTGATATTTCTGAATAATATGCTTATGCTGCTACTTTTTTAACAGCTTTATTGAAATGTAATTCACATAACACAAAATTCACCATTTTAAAGTGTACAATTCAGTTTTTAGTATATTAAGAGAGTTCTGAAACCATCACCATTTTCTGGTTCCAGGACATTTTCATCACCCTAAAAAGAAACTCCATAGCCATTTGCACATGACAGTCTTCCCATTCTCTCCTCCCCTAGCACATGGCAAACACTGATCTACTTTCTTTCTCTATGGATTTGCCTATTCTAGACATTTCATATAAATGGAATCTTACAATATATGGCCTCTTGTGTCTGGCTTCCTCATGTAGCATAATGTTTTCAAGGTTCATCCATACTCTAGCATGCATCAGTACTGAACATTCATGTATATGTTTGGGTTTTTTATTGCCTTTTAACATAAACTTTATTGAAAATTCAAACTGTAAAATTTACATGTACAGAAATGATGGTTCTGCCTTAGTTTATTATGTAGATAACATCAGAGTATGCTAATGTTTGTGTCCAAAGTTGCTTTAACTTCACTTGAATGCTTCGATTCCTTTTATATAGAGGCACTCTAAATTTAATGTATTTGTTTCATGTCTGGTTTAAAGAAAACACAGGTGTGTAATATTTTATACACTAGTTATCAAGTCAGATTATCAAGTTAGAAGGCCTTAATTCTTGGCTCAGGTTCTGTCCCTGATTGAATACATAGCCTTGAGCATGTAATGTCATTCTTTAGCCACTGACACTTGCCACTCCAAAAGGAACACAGCAGGAGACAGATTATACCATAACTCACTATACCACTAGTTAATCATTTCTGCTGGAAGAAGAAAAGAAAACTTTTTTCAATTTTTCTTTCTTTTGATTAAAAATTTGTTTCCAGTTTTATCGAGATACAATTGACAAAAATCACTGCATAAGTTTAAGGTGAACAGCATAATGGTTTGACCTATGTATATTGTGAAACGATTACTGCAAGAAGTTTAGTTAACACCCATCTTCTCATAGAGATACAATAAAAAGAAAAAGAAAAAAATATTTTTCTCCTTGTGGTGAGAACTCAGGATTTACTCTGTTGACAAATTTCACATATATCATACAGCAGTGTTAGCTTTTTGCATGTAAATATGTTTTCAGTTTTCTTGGGGATATGCCTAGGAGTGGAGTTGCTGGGTCCTATGGTAGCTCTATGTTTAACTTTTTGAGGAACTGCCAAACTGTTTTCCAAAGCAACTGTGGCATTTGACAATCCCATCAGCAGTGTATGAGGTTTTCAACTTCACATCCTCACGAGCACTTGTCATTGACTGTGTTTTTTATTATAGCCATCTTAGTGGGTATGAAGTGGAATCCTGTTGTGGTTTTCATTTGCCTTTCCCTAAAGGCAAATGATGTTGAGCATCTTTTCATGTGCTTTTGGGCCATTTATATATGTTTAGAGAAATGTGTAGTCAAATCTGTTAAACATTTTCAAATTGAGTTGGTTATCTTTTTATTGTTGAGTTGTAAGAATTCTTTGTTTATTCTGAACACAAGTCCTTTATCAGATGCATGACTTGCAACTGTGATTTCTTGACTTGTTAACGTTAGTCATTATTTACTGACTTTATGATATGATAATTGAGTAGTTCTCTCTTTTGTCACTCCCACTATCCATTGCCTGCCCCTCAATATAGCTTTACCACATATAATGTGTATTTTAACAAGCATTCTGGTGATTCTGTTGCTTAACTCTGAGGATCATTTGTGCATTTGTCAGGTTAGGCTAAGCTTGTGCTAAGATAGCTACCGCCTCCAAAATATCAGTGCTTAACACAACAAGTTTATTTCTCAAACTTCATGAGGATTGGGGATGGAGAGGTTCTGCTCCCCCTAGTTTCCCAGAGATCCAGACTAATCATGATACTGATGAGGATTTTTAGGCTGCTTAATTTTAAAATGGCTTATGATGAGGATTTTTAGGCTGGTTAGTTTTAAAACTACAGATGAGATTCAGGCTCCAAGGAGTGGACTTTGTTTGCCCCTTTGTTGGGAAACATTTACATTTCTAAGGGAAACCTCTATCTGTGAAGATGCCTCCCTCTCTGTGCCAGGAAGAGGGGGGGGATGGTCTTATCTCTAGAGGCTCTTGGTCAATGCCAGAGGCAAGAACTTAAGTTGGTTGCTGTCTGGCAATCTCATGTAACTGGTTTAGGGTGGTGGTGTCTAACCTTTCTAACCTTTACTTAATCCGATTTGATTCTTGTCTAAAAGTCATGGGATCACGCAATGACCAGACCCCACCCGCACTGATACCATTTTAACTTTTTTTCATGTTCTTTCCTTTGTCTTGTAAAGAGATGAATCATATACCTATGCCTTATAAAATTAGCCCTAACCCTCAACTCGGGGCAGCAGCAGGAGCTCTGACTGCCCGTGGGTCCTGTCCCCACGCACCAGCTCTGCCTGCCCATGGGCTCTGTCCCCATGCCAGCGGGGGCAGCAGAAGCGGCAGCAGCAGGAGCTCTGACTGCCCGTGGGTCCTGTCCCCACGCACCAGCTCTGCCTGCCCATGGGCTCTGTCCCCATGCCAGCGGGGGCAGCAGAAGCGGCAGCAGCAGGAGCTCTGACTGCCCGTGGGTCCTGTCCCCACGCACCAGCTCTGCCTGCCCATGGGCTCTGTCCCCATGCCAGCGGGGGCAGCAGAAGCGGCAGCAGCAGAAGCTCTGACTGCCCATGGGTCCTGTCCCCATGCTATTCCACACTATTTTCTAAATAAAAGAGCACTACTGCCAGATCTTGAGAGTCTAAGAAATCTTTCTTTCGACTCCTCGGCTCACCGATCCCGCATCAATACCACTGCAGCAGAGAAAAAGAGTCTTTGGAGATCTCACACTCATTTTTCTACACTGTAGTCTAGAAGTGGCATAAATCACTGCTGTTCACAGTCCTTTTTTTCATTTCTGTCTCTTTTAATTCTGACAAGCAATTCTGAGAGAGTTGTTATTATGTCCTTTATATAGTTGACTGCACTGAGGCTCAAAGAGTGTGATTTATGCAAGGTCACATATAGGTGAGCGGAAGAACATAGATTGGAGCCTAGGTTTATCTGGCTCTAAGACAATAATCCTTAACTAATTTGCTTTCCTAAACTCAAGGATTTTAATTTTATCTGCACCTTATTGCCCAACCAATCCTTTAGGATGTTAGAATACTGGCAATGGTTCTTCAGATGACAGATCCAAAGAGCAAGGCTCACGGTGGCATTGCTTCCTGCACCATTAATGCTTTAAAAAGGCATTTCATGCTAGTTCATAGCTTGACTGCCTTGGCTTCAAAATCATGGGCGGTGCCTACAGTGCATGTGGGTATTCAGACAGATGATAACATCCATTTTCTCCTGAGTTGGAAGACAACATTCCTTTGCAAGCTCGCATTGCCTGGGGTCTTGTACTTTTGGGCTGGGCTGGCTCAAACATCAGAAGCACTGCTCCAGGCAGATACAGGACTGAAGTCACCACAAGGTTACCAGAACAGGCACAGTCAAGG